TTGACTTATATATAAGAAAAAGAAGAAGAAGAAGAAGAGTTGCAAGTGACTGCAGGAATAACATTGTCCGTCAAGAATTGGGGACAAAGAATTGTCAAGATTTCTCTCTCGAATTGCCCTTTTTGGCAGAACAGACTACCAACAACAATTTGCAACAATTGTTAGATATTTTAGGGTAACCAGACGTACCTTACGTTGCTGCCTTTTTCATATTGAAAACATTAATGTTAACACGTCAGTGGCATTACCTCAAAAAAGTGTACCTCTTTCGAGTTGACTTCGAATGCTGCCACGCCATTCTAAGTTGCTTTCGGCTTCACATCTGAGCTGTGCTTCGTTCCGGTCGAGGTCGAGGTCGATACATAATGTTTTACTGCATCTGTGTTCCAGCTGAGGCGATTGACTTATATATAAGAAAAAGAAGAAGAAGAAGAAGAGTTGCAAGTGACTGCAGGAATAACATTGTCCGTCAAGAATTGGGGACAAAGAATTGTCAAGATTTCTCTCTCGAATTGCCCTTTTTGGCAGAACAGACTACCAACAACAATTTGCAACAATTGTTAGATATTTTAGGGTAACCAGACGTACCTTACGTTGCTGCCTTTTTCATATTGAAAACATTAATGTTAACACGTCAGTGGCATTACCTCAAAAAAGTGTACCTCTTTCGAGTTGACTTCGAATGCTGCCACGCCATTCTAAGTTGCTTTCGGCTTCACATCTGAGCTGTGCTTCGTTCCGGTCGAGGTGTTTGCATGGCTGTTGCCACAACAAACTTCAACCACTCACAATTTTCCATTCAGTGGTCTTCGTCGACTTTTCACCTTTGTGTCTACTTTGTTGCTCTGGTTCTGCTGTAGATTCGTTTGTATTTAAACCGAAACTGTCAAAAATTAAAGTAGTTTGTAAAGAACGCAATTGTGTGTCCGTAATGTAAGGACGACCTTAGATTGTTACAAAACAGCAGTAATTTACATTTCAAACTTTTGTTTACGATTTAAAGGTATCGTCATCCTTTACTGATTTACAAACGGGCTATAAGAGTACATTGTCTCCTACCCATCTTTACTTAAAAGCAATAAAGTACTGCTCGGCCTTTTTTTTTTGATTCGTCCATGGGCACAACATATTCAATTGATGTGGAGCGCAAATGTTCCATAGAAAAAGGCCAACTTTCTGCGATGGCCAATGATGCAGGCTAGAATCTGGGACATCTCTTTCTGTAGAACGTGTCAAAAATGAATTTCCCTGGATAATTGTTTGCCATAATAATCTTGCCAGAACTTCTTAAATCAGTTGCCCAACGTTTGGACCTCGCCTCCGATAAGTTAGAGGGAAGCTTGTGTGCTTATTTAATTAGTACTAACATTATGACCATTTAAACAATAACTGTTCCCAAACACCAACAGCGTTGTCCTCTCGTCCATATCCTGCACGAAAGTACAAATGCATTACTCAGTGAAGTACCCCCGAACGAGAGCATAACATAACTGAACACACAATTTGCCATTTTACGGAAAGTTAATTATTTGTTGACAAATATTTGAGTGGGTATTCGAAACTTGGCGGCAAATACTAATGCAAACACAGACAATATGTTAAGTGCTGCCAGCGAAGGATACACTTCATAAATGTTAAGGACGTGGGCTTAAATTTCAGCACAAGTGTTTATAATGGTAAGTGATAATGCCACAGAATGGAGAATAAATTCGAGTTGAACTTCCATTAAAGTGGTGGAATGCCATAAAAAGTAAAAAAAAGAAAACAATGTATCCGTTTACACTTCCGCTTCCCTCCCCACCGGTACATGATAAGCACAGGCATGCGCCAATTTATTTGGATTGAAAGTCGTTTGTGTTCGTTCATTTGTTGTGAAAATATGAATTTCAATTGCGACGAAGGACGCAAAGTTTTTGTGATTTTTGCAGGAGTACAATTAGGCTACCCTTACCCATCCGCAGCATTCATCAAAGTCTAATTTAACATTTCCCGTTATGTTGCCACTGTTTACGCTTTCGAATATTATTATAATAGACTTTTAAGTCCCTTTACGTGCCATTGTTGATGTGAAAGCGGCTTAATGTGTTTGGGAGCACAATTCGCTTGCGAAACTTTCCGTCTGTTATGGAGTTACTCATCAAACAAGAATGTATTAATAATCGTTGTTTTTGTTTGGGCTTTATATAGGAAATACCATTTTCATATGAAATATGCCTTTATATCACTGGTATATTTATATGTTGATTCCAGTAAATGAGAGGGAGTTAGGTGCACAATTGGGATAGCTAAGTCACTGAGAGTTGGTATTTTGACGGTTTCCATATTTGTATTTTCTTTTCCGGTAGATGCAATTTTTTATTTTTTAAATATAGGTTTGTAAGTTTTTGATCCCTGTCATCCATGACAATTTTCTGTAAATCTAGTGATTGATGCCAAGATAACTACCGTCTCATACAGTTTTAGAGAAGAGAAATGTATGTTTAACACCCATATCATGAGTAAGACCCTGCAAATATTTTTTGTCGACAACCCTTTCCAATGGGCTAAATATCCCCCATGTCAGTGTTGAGCCAACCACCAACTAGACTTCTACCCGTTCTAGCTTTCCCACAAGCCTATTACATGCCTTTTAATCTTAATTCTTGTGGCGACAAATTCGTGTAATGTAACTCTGGCATTTTATAATTCAAATTAATCCCCATTTGGGTGTTGTTTTTTGGAGTTCATTGCCTCACAATGTCAGCTCAGCTTCCTACTATTGTTAACATTTATGGATGGGGATATTCCGAAGTCAGTTACATTTCGTTGGCTGTCATAAAAAAGGGAAATGGGTTTTAATCTAAAAATTATGCAATATTAAGCAGAGTGCCAATTATTCATACAAGGAACGTTAATGCCTGGCGGCTAGCCCACAACCTAAACATTGTTGGCATTCAACGAAGGCTTCGTTATTCTATTTTGAAGGTATCATTATGTAAACCATAAACATGTAGGAAAAGTTTACCAAGAAATCTCGGCCTCTTTGGTTAGGCAAATTTTTAATTTAACCACCATGAAAATGGAGTGGTGAAAATACAACAGCTTTTATACTTTTGATGAGCATTTTTCACAGTTTGTCAAATAATTGTTGTTGAGTTTTTAACCACTCCGAGGGGAAAATCTTCTACGGATTAGGTGTTTCAAAAAGCGAAATAAGTTATGACGATGATTGCACAGCAAGTGCAAGATTTCAACGATTTGTGGTTCATACTTCTTCTGAGCTTACGAAGACTTATTTTTAATAACAATTTAAAAAATAAATTAATTAGAATTACTATTGAACACAACAAACAATTAGCAATCAGCGTCCAAACTTTTAATTTATCGACAAAAATTACAAAAAGTGTGGTCAATACGATCGCACATTAAAGTATTATTATAGACAAATAAAAATTGAGACGAATAAATGCTCTTTCCGATTATGATCGTTTTTGTTTTGCGTAATATTTTCTTGCGGTAATAGGATTTTTGGCAGGTGGTAAATTTTCGATAATAACTGTATTACGCAGTATGCGAATAATATATTTTAAAATAATAGCGCATTTTTGTATATACTTAGACCTAGCTTTTGGATTTCGGTCTTAAGAATGTAAAATTCCGATAAGTGAGAGACGAAACATGTGGAAAAATATATGAGGGTAGCACAAAAAACAAATTAAAAACTAGAGTATTGGGACATAAGTAAGACTTTAAGAAACCAAAGAAAACAAAACAATATCCAAAAACAACACTTGCAGAACACTGTAAGCACCCTATTGAAATCGGTGATAATCGGTCAAAATTTAGATATAGCTCCCACATTCGTCCGATTTGCATTTTGTTGTGGGCCAAATGTGTAATATTAATCCAAATAGGATGGACTTTGTGGTGTGTCAAATTTGGTGGAAATCGGTTCAGATATATCTATGGCTCCCATATATATCGTTCACCTGATTTGTTATTTTTGTCATTCACAGCCCTAATATGCACTCCGTAACACCGATATTCGGGGAAATACATCAAATACAGGTCTGAAATATGTTTGTCAAATTTTATCGAGATCGGTTCAGATTTGGATAATGCTCCCATACATATATTTGCTCAATTTCAAGTTTATTGTACATCAAATGGTTTATATAAGCCCAAAGTGAATGGATTTTGGCACATACGAACTAATTCGCCTGGAAGAAAGTGTATCAAATATGGGGAAATTCGGTTAAGATATAGCTATAGGTCCCATATATATATTTCATTGGATTTTGTATTCAAGTCCCTCACACCTGTAAAATGCTCCATACCACAAGCATATTTGGTTCCAGCTATCAGATACAGAATAGAAATACCTCAGCTAAATTTTATTGAGATCGGTTCTGATTTGAATATAGCTCCCGTAATATCTTCATCCGATTTCACGTTTAATGTGCCTAAAATGCAATACCAACCAGTTCAAATAAATGGGTTTTTGATAAATTTCGATTGAGTCCGTAAAATTTAGTACAAATTGATTAAGGCACGGATATATGAAAGCTACAAAAACGTTTATTTTTTATGGGTAGCTCCACTAAATATGCAAATTGGTGTAGGGTGTTATAAAGTCTTCTCGCCCGACGCTGGTTCTTTCTTTACTGGTTTTTATGCGGATTTTCAACCACAATTTTGTTTGCGATTTTCACAGAAATGCCGATATTTCAATTTTTTCCATTCTACTTGATCCTATCAACATTTGAGTATTATTGAAACCATTTTCAATACCATTTGTGACTTTTATTACCTACTCGTAATGACGAATGTAGTTTGTTGTCATTTACTAAATCCGCTACTCTAAATTCCTCGTAATGACGTTTACTTTTGTGGTCTGGCATCTACTTGCCACAAACACACCCTCACCGGCGATTTTTAATATATTTTATTTATTTGCATAAAATGAATTTGAAATAAACATTTGCGCTATTGGAAGTGTCGTTTATGATTCAAACATTCGGTTTTGTTGAAAAGTGACATCGAAAAATTGTGGTGCAGTTTTATTAGGCCCAGATTACAGTAGTGGTGGATCCATATTAACTTGCCCAAAGGGGCATTGCAAGAATGTCGCCTTAAAAATATTAGCTACATGGAAAACTTTTTTAAATTGTAAAACAAAAACACTGCAATCGCACTAACATTGAGGTCAAACACAAAAGGCCACAACTCGTGATATTTAGCCAACTGTCTGTTCGCAATTAAACGCTGATAACAATTCGAAAAACAAAATCAATTCCACGAAATGCAATAGACAAATCGAAAATACTTAATATGACAATATACATATGTTTGTGTGTGTGTGTATTTGTATTCTGAGATCATCACAGGTCTACCGCAACTACTTGAATGGTATGTTCTTCGTCATTGGCCTATGGATCGGGGAGCTCAGGATGAATCTTACTTGCAATAGCGAGCCATCGTCTTCGGCGATTGTTTGCGTGTATTCGCCACTTCTGGCTAATATGTCTGCCTTTGTCAAGTTGAGACGGGCCAGAAAAGCGGATATGGGACTCAAAGGCGGTGAAAACTCAAGTGGTCTGGTATTTTCGTAAAATGAGGTGAACGTTGTGGGAGGCCCCTGGAAGCTGGTGCTCGCGACTCTACGATTTGGCTCTATAGCTTCGGGGAGTTCCACTTCCATCGGGTGCTTATTTTCAATTCTCAAGACATTGCCTGTATCTAGTTTTGGCTGCAAATGAGACGGTAGCTTCTTCATGAGATCTTCATCGGCCGGTTTTCCATTGTGCAGAACTTCAGTTACCGGCAAGTCTTCAATGTTGATGTGGATTGGCTTCTTTGTGGTGGTCGTTGCGCTGGATGGATTCGGTGTTTTTGTAGTCTGTGTTTTAGGTTTGGGGGTCGTTGTTGTCAAAGTGGGATTTTTTGTTGTTGCAACTGTTTCCTTCTTTGATGATGTCGTCGTCGGGCCATACCGACTCTTTAAGAACTCATCCAAGCTAGGCAAAGGAGTTGTGACTTTTAGTTCAGGATCGTTTCGTTTGGGCAATGGTGTTGAAGTGGCCTCCGTGGACAGTACTTTGGATTGCACAGTGGTACTTGTCGCCGGAGGCAATTTGCTGCTAGTGGTACTCTCAGTTGTGTCATCCTCCACAACTGTCCATTCATCCGGATCACCCATGGTCTCTTGTGGTAGCCATGAACTTGGAAAGTAAGGACTACCAAAAGAAGGCCAGGATTGGGAGGGGCGTGTATTTACCGGCGATGGGCCATCAATGGGGGACTCGATTGAGGGAAAACCCTGCGATTCAAATGGGTTAGTGGAAAATGTTTTTACAACGTGAGTCTCCCCGTTTGGCCCTCTGAATGTCTTCGTAGTCTGTCGGTAGTTTGTTGGGAACTCGTTTCCTTCTTTGCTGTGCAAAATTGTTGAGGGTTCCTCTGGATCCGTTGGTGATTCGGCATCCCATGGGTGAGAGGAAAATGTTTTTACTACACGCGTCTCCCCATTTGGCCCTCTGAATGTATTGACTGTCTGATGGTAGTTTGTTGGAGCTTCATCTCCGGTTATGGTTTCGACAATGCGCCTGTCGCCATTTTTATTCGTGTATATTTTGGTTTGCTGGCGTGTTCCGGTCCTTGACTCCGAGGGCCAGGGCGAGACCGGAGGAAATCCGGAAGAATGATGCTGTGTCGGGCCGATGCTGCCGAACCAATTATCTCCGCTATCGTCACCAAAACTAGGAATTGCCTGTGGACCACCACTACTGGTGAATGTCCTGGTAACCGTTCTACCGTTTGATTTTGGTGTGTAGGACGAGTCAGGAACCGAACCGCCATAAATTTCGGTAAGTGTTTTGGAGGAGATACTTCCATCCGAATCGAGTTTGTAGGTTGTCGTTTTTTTAACGCCAGGTGGTTCAATCTTCACACGAACGACTGGTTGACGGGTACGCAGTAGTTCGGCGACAGCATCTCCGTCCATTCCACGACGAATGGCAGCGTCAATTATAAACTGATCCAGCGTAGTTCCACCGGTTGATCCCCTGGTATTGATGAATTCTGCGTCGGGATTTCCATAGAATTGAGCCCAGGCAACCGAAAATACCTAAAGGAGTTACGTTTTTATTTTTTTTTTGCTCTTCGAAATTATCTATGCGTATAATTATTACCTGCACGGTGAGAATAAATTTAAAAAGCTTCTTCATTTCAATGCTCTGGCAAATCGCCACGAAAATTAATGTGACTGCTTCTGCTGGTGGTGTTATACTGATTTAGCGCGAGAAGTGCAGCGCCTCATATAAGTTTGGTTTTCGGATTCGAACAAATCCATTTGTTTGGATTCCCCCGGCTTGATGATAAGCATGTCTCATTATCGCCTATTGTTGCTGGCTTGCATCTGCGGAGAGTGTCTAAGCGCGTATGTTTAGGTTTCAAAACGGGGTTATCAAAAAAGTGGGATGCTAGATGGGTAGCGCTCTTTTTTTGTGAAGCACTTGTACTCGTAATTACGATTACAATCTACGGCATTCTAATTATGGCTAACTTCGATCTTGAAGAACAATTCTGAGTTTGTGTGTGTGTACATTTATTTGTTTGTACAACAATTAATCATAATGAATTATTAATAATTAATAATTCTCTTGAAATGCTAAAAACGCTAAAAACAATATTTAATGGCTAAACTTGACTTCTTCCCATCTGAATAGACACTCATGCGGCATACAAAAAAATATTATTGTCAATTTTTCCAATACAAAATTTCCTAACAAAACTACGTATTTTGTCTATTTAATAAAAATAAATTAATATTTAATACAATTGTTTGGAATATATTTATAAATTATTCTTCATTGTTGTTGTAAAATAGTTAGGCTTAATCTCATTCTTCTTGTTTTTATAAAAACAACGTTTTCAAGGTAACATATGAGTATTTGGGGCTCTTTCCGGAACTTAGGTATTACCTGCCTTATCCCTTGGTAAAAATTACCATGTTTCACCACTAATAAAAAAACGTTGATTTTATAAAAGCAACAATAATGGGATTTAGCCTAACTATTTTGCTACAAAAAAAATACTACGGTATCCCGAACAAACATGCCAACACTGTTCTATTATTCTCAACAATAAAAGATGTAATCGTTACGGTCTCATATAAACAGAAGTCTTTAAATAAAGCTGTATCATTTTGATCTTGTTCCTCTGGATCTAAAACTTTGTGTAAACAGAATTCTGATTTCAAACCTTCAGCCATATGGCTACGGCCAAAACGTGCCTCATCTATAACGATTTTAGACCCTAGGTCTAAAACTTTACACGTTCCAATATTTCTACTAACAAAAGATCTGTAGTGAAGATGGAAAATGGTCCCCACAAAGGGGATAAAATTTGTAATAAGACAACGCTCATAAAATAAAAATCCGATTCTTTTCCAACTTCACACATCCCAATATTTGGAGTGAAGATTGGATATATCCGCACCCTCCTTCTCGTACTTCCCCGACAAAAAATCAAATATGGGATATATCGGCTAGCTCCTTCTGGTACCTCCCCCACAATGTGTCAATATTTATATCTCTCATAACTTGAGATACATGTCAGCGATTTTTTTAATTTTGTTTATCTAATTTTTAGGGTCACTCCTTTTGATACCACCCCCATAAAATGTTGAAATTACAATACACAATTATTCGCATAAAAGTGCAAAAGTGCATCCCAATATTTGTATCAGTATTATTTAAAGTATAAAAGTGCTACAACCCATAAACTGTGGTTTTTGCGCCTCATAAATCCCTACAAGCAGCGGGAAAACAACAAAGTGGACAACCCTATCTCAACAACCTATTCTGATGAGCATTTGTTGTCGGCCTGTTGAATAGTATTATTTTCTTTATGTTCCGTTTGAATGCACATATAAGCCGAATCTTCTTCAAAACATCGATTTAAAAAACTGAGCGGTCGAATTCTGTTTTTACTTTCCATCTACATACATACTACATTTCATACTTGTTGGGGGGAGGGGTTGAAACACACAATTTTTACTATAGAATTAGAAGAAGATGTTGCTATAGAATGTGCATTAAAAGTAAACGGAATCCATAGAAAGGTTACCTAACTATATTTTTATGGTCTTCTACCGAGTTACTGCATAAACGTCAAATCTATTTGAGGAGCCGAAGTAAAATGGGCACGAGTAACCGGGTATACGATTTGTATGTGAATTTAAAGATTCTGCAAAACAAAATTTTCTGTGAATTCTCTATGGCTAGTGTTTGAGTGAAGGTATGGTAGATTGTCTACCCAAACGTTGACGGTGTTGAAGAATTAATTCGTTTCACGCTGTCCTCATCAATTTACCATCAATTTGTAATTAAAATACTCCATCATTTTATTGTAAGTCGACACCCTTTTCCTTTGCCGGGCCGTTGGAAAACAAACAAAGGACGTTTACTGTCGTCTACGGAAAGCCACCCTTCGCTATATGCAAACGTTTTATTACAACAAAAAGACACGTGGTTTTGTTTTTACGAATCCACATTTTACTGACAGGGTGCATGCGTTTTTTTTAATCTCTGTATTCTTGTGTCCATGGTGGGAGGGTGTAGTTTTAAAATATGTTTTTCTTTTGTCCTTTGAGATAATATTTCTTTAAAGCCCTTAATGGGAATAAGCAATTGTTTGCTTAGCTTAAAAAACTCTCGGCCAGAGGGGTTTCTGTTTGTTTCTTTTGGAAGAGCTGGTGAGGAAGGTTCGTGTTTATTTTTCCGCACATCTACTATGCCCGTCAAAAGCACGTGTTCTAGACACATGACTCAATTTTTTCTCCAAATCTCATAGGGGGTCTGGTCTTAAAGACTCCATCAAAGTGAATGTACCTCTTCTTGGCTTGTCGCATTAATAACGAACGATTTTCAGCGTAAAAATAACCATTTATCATTGGCTCCTAAAGGCAGAAATAAAGTCTAGAACTTTCAACAACTTTGTAGAAATTGGCCGTTCCGATAACATTGAAAGGACGATACTAAATAAATGATGGCAACGGAAGAAGGTACTTAATGAACAACAATTTTCTAAACTTATATTGTTTGCCCTAAAATGAGTTTTGGGCTTTAGAAACGTTTATTGCAAAAATTATATCAAGAACATTAATATTTTGCAATACATTTTAAAATATTATTACGTATTAACATGATAGATATTTATAAAGAAAAACCTTCGTATTTTAGTTCCAAATTTGGAGACCTTTTTCAATTTATTTCAAATGCGTACGATGTTTTTTTTTGGTTTTTGGGTTAAGTTGTAGTTCTTTTTCTGCGAAGAATATATAAATTTTATTAAAACGCTTTTTGTCCTTGTCTCCAATATCCTTTGGAAGAATAATAAAGAAACTGTAATTTTCGTGGAAATTTATTTCAACTCTGTCTTTGCTTAGCCAACAGATGTAGCATGAATCCTTTCCGACGGCACCTCTAAGTATTTCTAAATATTATCAATTTTGTGTTAACCTCCCCTCTTCTTGCCGGAAAACACAGTGTTTACTTTTTCTTACCAAGCTGCATATTTTAACTATTTAAACATTGGTTTGCCATTTCCCATCCTGAGTATGACACCGCCATGTGACATTTGCGGTTACCAAATCTCTACATTTATTTCTAATGTCCTTAAACATTCATAATCGTCGGTACGACAAGAACAACAACAACAACAAGGATAGAGCTACTGAAATCAGAGGAAAAAGGAAACCGAGCAAAACCACAGTCACATACCTTAAATTCATACAGCATTTTTATGACATTTCATATTGGAATGTCTTTCGGCAAGTGCCACAAATAGCAGTAACAGTCAAAGTTCAAGCCAAAGTGGAAGTAGAAGTGGAAGTAGTTACACTGAGTGCTGTTGCTACTTACTACTCGGTCATGAGGTTGGCAAAATCCCTTGAAATGACTTCTGGTGACATAACATGCAAAGGCAATTTTTCAATTTTTATGCTTTTGCGTGCCATGCAAAAATTGTTTATGCTCGACCACAAAAATACGTCTGGAATGAAGAAAACACCAACAGAAGTTCTTGCATGATTTCCGCTGACTTGACAAATTGTAAAAGGCATAGTCGAGAAGTTCCAGCGTAGAAATGGAACAGAAATCACAACACTTCGGTGTCCAAAAAACGTGACTTGACAGACCTCCCTCCCCCAAGTCCATAAGGCAAACTTCTGCAAATATGTATTGCAAGCGAACTATTATCGTGATGTATGTTTGGCAGAAATATCCTTGGGGTGTTGTTCTTGGCGTCTGTCAGTGTAAAATGAGCCTTTGCCACTTCCTAGTCAGCATTGGCCCAACATTAATATGACTTAAGCTAATAAATTAAATTAAACCAAAACAATTAGACATGAGAATCGGCCAGCCAGGCAGTGGGAGTTGTGTTGCCTAGCCAATGTTGATTTTTGAAAAGTCACTGAAATGATTGGCTTAAGGTAAATGGAATATATTACCCATCCATCTTTTCTTAAGTCGGGTATCCCTGCCTCGTGTACATCATTGGATGCTACTTGCGTTCATTAGTCTTTTAACTTCATTTTGAACTGAGAGGCCACCTGCTTCCTGGGCTGTTAAAAGAAAAATCCGATTTTTCGTAAGTTTTGGAGTGAGAAAGTTGTAGGACAACCATTCCTAAAGCTGCATTGGGAAGATGAATGATTCGGCGTTTGATAGCTTTAAGAAAGTCATACATCAAATATCAAGTTGACTTGGCAGGTTTTAATAATGATATTGACGATTACTATCTGTCAAACTTGTAGGATTTCAGCAGAAACCTTAGTTTATTGCATTGATTGATTGTTTGTAATTCTTTGAATAATACAAGAATTCTGTTCAAAATGCATACCACAAATTGAATTAAAAAGTCCGACATGAAGAATTTCGCTACCAAAAAAGTGAGTTAAATGTTATATTACTGCTCCAAAGTTTACCGAATTTTCAAGAATGAACTAGAAATGTTCTCATGTGTACCAGTCATATCAGCCACCTGCGCACCGAAAATGAAATTTTAACATATTATATGGCTACTTTATTACCAAAATTGTATGCACCAAGTGAGAAGTTCCTCAGTCTTCTCTGCCACTGCTGTGGTATACATAGAAAGAAATATTTCATAGATTGAAATGCCGTTGATTTTCTTTGAACTGTCTATTTCTAATTCATAACTCTTACTGCATTTTACATAAAACATATAAAATTCTATTAACAACACAAAATCATAAAATGCGACGGGTTTGCTCCGGAAACACAGGATGGCAAATGGCTGAAACCACTTGTGTCTGTACAAAA